AAAAAAAAAAAAAAAAAAAAACCAAAACACTACTAGCTATCACTGCCACAAAACCAAGCCCAATTTCATATCCTTAATGTAAATGGACTTTGGACTTGAACTTAAAGTATCAGAAAGACCTTTGCAAGAAAGGACAGTTGGCAAATTTACACCAACATGTATGTATATATCTGTATAATTTTTTGTTTTTGACTCAGAGTCTCACTGTCACCCTGGGTAGAGAGCCATGGGGTCATAGATCATAGCAACCTCAAACTCTTGAGCTACCCAGAAAGCTGAGACAAGGGGATTGCTTGAGCCCAGGAGTTTGAGGTTGTTGTGAGCTGTTCCAGTTAGAGCTGTCTCAATTGTGACTCATATTTTTCTTTTTCTTTGCAGTTTTTGGCCGGGGCTGGATTTGAACCCGCCACCTCAAGCATATGGGGCCAGTGTCCTACTCCTTTGAGCCACAGGGGCCGCCCTGATATTTTATTTTATTTTTATGGAGATACAATTTTTATATTATGAAATCCAAAAGTGTATATGTAATTCAGTGGGTTTTAGCACATTCACGTTGTGAACTATCATCATTATCTAATCCCACATCATTTTCTTTTCCTTTTTGGGGGGACAGAGCTCACTTTGTCATCCTCGGTGGAATGCTGTGGCATCACATCTCACAGCAACTTCAAACTCTTGGGCTCTGGCCATTCTCTTGCCTTGGCCTCCGCAGTAGCTGGGGCTGCAGGTACCCGCCACAATGGCGGCTATGTTGTTGTTTTCTTTTTTTTTGAGACAGGATCTTGCTCTGGCTCTGGATGGTTTTCCAACTTGCAATCTCAGGCTATCCACCTGTCTCGGCTTCCCAGAGGGCTAGGATTACAGGCCTCAGCCATCGCGCCCAGCACTTTTATTTTTTTATTTTATTTTTTTGAGACAAATCTCACTCTGTTGCCCTGGGTAGCGTGCTATAGGGGTCATGGCTCACAGCAACCTCAAACTCTTGGGGTCAAACCATCCCCTTGCTTCAGCCTCCACAGTAGCTGGGACTACAGGTGCCTGCCACAACTCCCAGGTATTTTTAGAGGCGGAGTCTCACTCATGCTCAGGCTGGTCTCGATTGAATAGTATTTCATTGTGTGGATATAGGGTTTTCTCTCACGGGAGAGCCTAGGGCTAGAATTGCCTCAAAAGCTACCACCAAGGAATTCCCACAGGAGAATGCCCTAAGCTGCTCGCAGATGGGGTTGTTTGGGATTCCAAGCAAGCACTAAGTGCCTGTGTGGTCAATCCGACCTGTTCACCAGGGGAATTTAGAGTGCTGCAGCAATTCTCCAGGTGGACAGCGAGAGAAGGGGTGCTCTATGCAGCTACATCCCCAGTGATGGGGAATCAAGGTTTGGAGTTCATATGCGTTTGAGGAATTTGTCTCATGGGCAGTGCCAGTTTATTTTAGTGTTATGGGCAATAACTTAGATACCTTTATTAGCGCCTGGGATTGTTCAAGGCCTGAGTTTGGCTGCAAGCCTGCTGGGGAAAACTCGCAGCTGGCTGGGTCACAGAGCCATTAAGACAGACTGTGAGACTGACACAGCAAGTGGAGGGAACTGGGGAACCCTACATGTAGTACCACACGTTATTCATTCACCAGTCGATGAACACATGGGTGGCTTTTTTTGCTTATTATAAATAACGCTGCTACGAATACTACTGTAGGTACAAGTCTTTGTGTAGACAGGGGCAGATGTTATGTACTGTAAACAGGCTCAGCATCCATGGCTTAATAGTTAGGACGCCGACCACATACACCGAGGCTGGCGGGTTCAAACCCGACCTGGGCCTGCTGAACAATGACAACTGCGACAAAAAGCCGAGCATAGTGGCGGGCGCCTGCCTCGGGAGGATGAGGCAAGAGAATCGCTTAAGCCCAGGACCTGGAGGTTGCTGTGAGCTGTGACGCCACGGCACAATTCTGTCTAAAACAACAACAACCACCAACCAACCAACCAACCAACCAAAAATATATGCTGTGAACGGTATCAAAAGGCTCCAGTTTGCCTAAATACATTTCCAGCACGCCAGACACCTCCCGGGGAGTGCTGCCCTCGGCGCAGGCGCGCTGGCCACCGCACGTGCGGCGTGCGGACGTTAAGGGAGGAGCCACGCTGCGTTCGCGCCCCGGAAGCGGAAGCCAGCTCTCCTTCCAGGCGGCTGATTCGAGGGCTTGTTTTGTCACAAGCGGTGCCTCTGAGAAACTGCAAGAGGGCGGACCATGCCGTCTGAGGGTCGCTGCTGGGAGACCCTGCAGGCGCTGCGCAGTTCCAACAAAGGTCGCCTTTGCTATCATCGCGACTGTCTGCAGCGCGGTGAGGTGAGCAGTGGGCCCGGAGGGGCCAGGCTGTCCTGCCCCTCGCGACGCAACCTTGCTCTTCCTTAGCCCTTGACACTTCCTGGGCCAGGGATCTCGTGCGTTCTAACACCTTGCATTTATTTCTTGACCCCTGTGTCTGCGTCTCCCTTTGCCAGGATTTCTGTCCACTTTAACCTCTTCTGGCTTTTCAGGGACCTCCTATTATTTCAGGCTGCCCTTGCTCTCTGAAGGTGCCTAACTCTGGTTGATACTTTCAACCAGAGTTAGGCGCCTCCTCTTCTGTTGTCGAAGCAACCCTGGGCTTTCAGGTTCAGTTAATTTACTGTTTGTCTCGTGTGCTAGTAGCTCCAGATTTAGCAGCGAACGAGTAACATGACCTAACCCATTGCTGACAGTGAAATGATTTAAAAAAAAAATTTTTTTTTCGGTTTTTGGCCGGGGCTGGGTTTCAACCCGCCACCTCTGGCATATGGAGCCGGCGCCCTACTCCTTTGAGCCACAGGCGCCGCCCGACATGATCAAATTTTTAGACAGCATTTGGAGGGCCTGGAAATTAATGGGGGGCGTAGTCTTGTATGTAGTATTTGCAAAGCCCTGTACCCGAGGGTCGGATGTTGTAGAGATAGAGCTCCCATTCCCTGGGAGCTAGTAGTTACTAGTAGTTAGCTTTAGGTAGGACGTAGTCTTGTCTGTTCAGACATCTGTGAGAAACAGTTCTAAATAATTTCCCTTTTATATTCTTGACAGTTTTTAAATATGCAGCTCTTACATTCAATAGGGTTAAATCCCAATCACACAAGTTATATCTTTTGTGGAGAGGACCGGGTCTCACTCTGGCGCCTGGGCTACTAGAGTGCAGTGGTATCACCATAGCTCACTGCAACCTCAAATTCCTGGGCGCAAGCAATCCTCTTGCGTCAGCCTCAGGAGTAGCTGGTACTGCAGGCGCTTTCCAGCATGCTGAGCTAATTTTTCTGTTTTTAGTAGAGATAGGGATCCCACTCTTGGCTCAGGCTGGTTTCTTTTTTTTTTTTTTTTTTGAGGGGTTTCCAAAATATTCTAATTATTATCCCTTAAATGTTGGAAGTAGAATCTCTGGCTCAGGCTTTTTTTTTTTTTTTTTTTT